CAACAAATTGTCTGAAATTAGACCAGGGCGCAGCATCTCCATGGATGTGATGTCTGACGTAGGTGATTTGTCTCTGGGGTGGCAGGGGGAAACTCCAGCATTTTAAACTTGTGCTTTGGTAAATTGATAAATGCAAAATGATTCCCATATGGGTTTTTTTGTAAATGGTAAGTCTTTGTGCATAAGCTTTATTAGTAGGTTGGCTCCTTATTCAATTTCTTAAAAAAACCAAAAACCTGACACAATCAAAAACCACACAAATTTTTTTCTAAGGTTTGTCAGGATTTGACAAATCCTAGGAAACTTTAAAGTGAAGGCTAATATGTCATCCTTTGCTTTTGCTATGTCATTAAGGACACAAAGGAATAACATGAATGAAATATAGGATGAAAAGCTTCTTCCATCATCTTTTCAAATGGAGAAAACAGCTTTACTGCAATAATGCGCTCTGCCCCCACTTGTGTCTCTGCTCTTGTGTTCTGTTACTCATTCTTTTCACTCTGCCTCTGAATTCCTGCCTCGCTTCTGTCATAGCCTCTCTCTGGCATTTCTTAAGACAGCTGTAGCACCAAAACAATGATTAGTTTTCTGATATTTATAAAGCAAATGGTAAAGATTCTGAAACTTAGTGATTTGGCTTTTGAAAAGCTACTGTTGTCTCCATATTTCCCACTTGAGTCTAATTTCTAGAGCAAGAAACATAGCGCTGGTAGCATTTGCTGTTCGCATTTGAAATTTTTATTGTTTTGAAGTTCAGGCAGTCCTACGTGATTGAGCTCTGAGGTTTTTCCAAAGTTAGTAACATATCTCAAAGAACCAAGTGAGAGAGACTTTTGGTTTTCGGTTCATCGGGTTCTCAAAACTCTGGCTGAAGTAATAACTTCCAGGAGCTGCACTATACGCTTAAAAGTGTTTTCAGAGTTTCAGTGGAGCTGCTCAGCATGGCAGTTTCCCCTTTTCTTCTCTTCATTACTGTCTCTCTGCTTGTCTGTGGAATTTTATAATGTGGTTTAGCAGCTGGTTTCTACTGAATGTAATTAAAAAAAAGGGGGGGTATGCAGTTGACTGATCAAGTGATTGCATGTGACATGGGGAGCAGATCCTTTTATTTATGCAAGTAGCCGGTTCTGCGTTATGATCACAAGAGCTGACTTCTGCCATCATGTGAGATTTTCACATGAGGAATCTTGGAAGTGACATTGTTGGGAATACTGTAAGGCTCTTTTATGAACATGAATAAAGCAGCAGTTGTCCTCTCACAAAAAAAATAAGTCAGGGGTAGAATGAGACAGATTTTTACCAACCTAGTGAAACTAACAGCAAATCCAGAGGAAAAGCCTGTTTCTGTAGATGCTGTGAGAGTATCTGATTAGCTAGAAAATGGGAGTATAGTCTTCACCCCAACGGGTGATCACAAGCCCCTTGTTTTTAATAACTGTTCTCTTAGAACAAAGATCTTCTAGCAAAATCAATACTACATTTCATGATAGCATTTCTGATGAAGGTGGTTGAAACATTTCACTAAAATATACCCTGCTGCTGTTTGTGCAATCTGAAAACAAAATGTGACATGGAATAGAAGGAGTGCCAGAGATCAAAATGGAAATGCTGTGGCTACAAACATTTGGCATCAGACTTTGTATCCTGAATTGGGAGATTTGTGGAGCCGTGCCTCTTGCAGGCTTCTGGAGCAGCATTAGACTCGTTGATTCTTTCCCTCCATATGAAAGCTGCTGTGCTGTGAAGCTTTTGGACTGTGATGGCACAGTACTGGAACATCAGAAGAGCACAGATAGCTCATTAAAGTTTTGTTGATGAAACCAGCGCTTTTTTTTTTTAAGTGCTGCTTTTCTTTTCTTTTTTTCTTTTTTTTAAATATTTTTTTTAGCTTTCAAGCAAGTTGTCAGTTACTATTTCTGTATTGACTATAGCAAAATTTCTTTTCAGTCATGAACAGCTGCATGCCCTTGATAGGTTGCAATAGGTTGCATGTCATCTGGCATTATTCTCCAAGTAGCTATGGGCAAGTAGAAATGTGAGAAGTTAATAGAATGGCACTTGCTTTTATAATACTTAAACTATTACACTTGCAGCTAGTGGCATTGTAATTGATG